TGTCACCCCTGTGCCCTCTAGAGGAGGTTAGCAGGCATTCATGAAGGACAACCTACACACTATTGCATCTTCCTTGATACCTATGTATTTGAACTAGAGCCAAGGGAGAAACAGTAGATACCAGAGGAAGAAGGCAGCAAAACAAACAAGAAATTCAAGGAGCATTTTTGTGATGACTTTGGTCCACTTTCCGCATCATATCCTACCCTCCTCACCCTACAGACAAGACACTCAGCCTCTCTGTACAGTGTTTCAGCTTCTCCTCCTCTTCCCAGCTCTAAAGTTCTCTTCTGGGGGATAGAGAACTCCAGTACCCATCACCTAGCTCTCAAGTCCCCAGAAGCCATCTGATGACTGGTAGTGCCATCCACTCTCTACTGGCTGTGTCTGGTTAGTTAAATTTGTGTTAGGCTGGCTTTGGTGGGGACTCTGGGGCAGGACATGGTCTTAACTGTCATAGAAGTCAATGTGGGCTCCAGACTGGAAGGTGTTCTTTTGCAGCAAGGTCAGTAGTTTCTGGGCTGAGGACCCACAATCCACCAGCTTCCCCTTTGACTTCAGCTCCTGCAGTCTGGTCCTTAACTCTGGGTCCTTGGAGGTTTCTCTAGCCAGCTGCTGCATATCTGTGTCCAGGGGACCTAGTGGATGGAAGTACAAGACAGAGACAGAGGTTGGAGGTTCCCAGTGTGTGTGGAGGGTGGGGCTGAGTCAGGTCTGGCCCAGGCTCCATTATGTTGTCTTCCATTTTTTTTTCTTTTTTAAAGTTACGTTCTCTGCTGAAATTCAGGATCCTCCTACTGAAGCATCTCCAGGACTAGGTTTACAGGTGAGGGCCACCATGCCCAGCTCTCATTACTACTGAGTTTTGAATTTAAAGCTAAAGTCTATTAAGCATGGCTTACAATCAATCTCCTCACCTCTTAGGCACATGACATCTCTTCCCAAGTTTCCCATTGTATCAATAGAGACTCGGACCCCCCAGGTGTCTCACTCCACCTGCAGCCAACCATCGCCCGGGTGAGACTGTCAGCTTGGTCTCAAGCAGGTCCATGTGACAATCTTGCTTTCTCCTTATTTCATCACCAGCTCTAGCCCTCTGATAAATTCATCTGGGTGCCCTCTTCTGGCTCACATGGCTCCTCAAAACCCTGGATGGGATTGAGTTCAGATCCCCAGGAAAAAGCTAACTGTAGGGGAGAAGAGAGGAGATGGTTCCCAGTAAGGAGACCTTGCTGTTCTTGCAGAAAACCAGGGTTTGATTCCAGAACCAACATAGCAACTCACAACCATCTGTGACTCCAGTAATGGGGAGATGATGCCCTCTTCTGGCCTCTTCAGGCACTGCATGTGATGAACAGATTACATATTCAGGCAAATACCCACAAACACAAACACAAACTCTCTGTCTCTGTCTCTGTCTCTGTCTCTCTCTCTCTCTCTCTCTCACACACACACACACACATTCACACACACACAGACCTGTCACTAACCACTTTTCTAAACTTTACTTGCATTTCTGGAGAATTTCTTCCACCTGCTAATAAACAGCCCTCAAGGAATTATATAGTCTACCAAATTTTAATGGCGTTAAGGAACAGAAAAATCGTGGAACACAGGGCTGTAAGCAGAATCACTTTGCTTCATTTGAATGTTCTCTAGCCTGTCTCTTCCCTGTCATATTGAGACACAGTCTCCTGTAGCCCACACAGGCCTCTAACTTCCTGTATGGCTAGGGCTGACTTTGAACTCTTGCTCACACCTCTCAAGTGCTCTATCCACCATGCCCAGTTTTATCTCCTTGAGAACCTCTGGGACAGGCTTGCTATCTTTACAAACAGACTCTTCTCTCTTTGGAACCCTGTTAGAACATTCTTCCAGAGATGAAATGATAGAGTGGTTCCTGCTGTCTACAGGCTCTGGGGATATCCAAACCTCTTAGTTAGTTCTTTCACTATGCTGAGGCAGCTTCCAGAGAGCTAACTTAGCTCTGGGCCCATGTGTCATAGCTCTCCTCCTACCTACAATTTACATGTGATCACTGCTGTTTGAATGAGTCTGGGTTGAGCTCAGAGCAGGGGAGATGGAACAAGCAATATCATGTATGTGTGTGGAGGGCAGGTGCCAGGTAATATCCCCAGGTAAATCAAGGGTTAGAAGCTACTTTGGATCCTGGCCTGCCCATTCAAATAGTAGACAAACCATTTCCACTCCTGCCTCCAGTATCCTGACCTCGTCCAAAGGGGTACTGATAACTGGATCTCACCCTTGA